GGAGGAAGGGGAGGAGTGGGGAGGAGGAGGAGGAGGAGGAGGAGGAGGAGGATGAGGAGGGGAGGAGGGAGGAGGAGGAGGGAGGAGGAGGAGGAGGAGGAGGGGGGGGACGAGGAGGAGGAGGAGGAGGAGGAGGAGGACGGGGAGGAGAGGAGATGGAGGAGGAAGAGGGAGGAGGAGGTGGAGGAGGAGGAGGAGGAGGAGGAGGAGAAGGAGGAGGAGGAGGAGGAGGGGGGCCCTGTGTGGGGAGGGGGAAGAGGCAATAGGCAGACGAAGAGGCGACTCGCGTTGTCGTCGTGAGCGCCAGTCGAATACAACAGTGGAGCGCCTTCAGCAGCGGCTTCCACTTTCTTATGCTGGCGCGAAGGGGCCCTGCGATGGAGAAGACAATCGAGAAACCGCCAGGGGAATAGAGACGGCACGCGTCGTCTTCGTGAGCGACAGACCTAACTCCCCTCCGTCAGGATAGACCCTTCGCTCGAGTGACCTTTGGTGCTGTCCCCAAGGGGGTCGGGTGATTTTCCTTGTGGAATGAGCTTGTCCTCGCGTCGGCACCCGTATCGCGTGATTGCGCTCGCATCTCAGCTCGCCAGGCTTGGTCCGCTCCTTCTAAATCAACAGCAGCGCATGAGCGGCGCACCCTACAACGTGCACTGGCTTCCCAGGGAGGGCCGGTCGACCAGACGGCGCGTTTCCCGCTCCAGGACCAATCCCGAATCTCAGCCCAAATCTCAAATCGTCCGGCTGAACATCTTTAAACAATGTGCGTAGCACCCCGCAGATGCGGCTGAGAGTGAGGGAGCGGTGAGGACGTCGGCAGTCTGCGAGACTCTGGGCTTTGGAGAAGCCCGCCGCAGGCGCCAAAGTATCACAAATTATTCAACAAGCCCGCAGCAGGGGTGGATCGCGGGAGGGTCGCGGGGTAGGTCGCGGGGTGGATCGCGGGAGGGTCGCGGGGTAGGTCACGGGTGGGTCGCAAATGGGTCGCGGGTGGGTCGGGGGTGGGTCGCGGTTGGGTCGCGGGTGGGTCGCGGGGTGGGTCGGGGGTGGGTCGCGGGGTGGGTCGGGGGTGGGTCGCGGGTGGGTCGCGGGTGGGTCGCGGGGTGGGTCGCGGGGTGGGTCGCAGGGTGGGTCGCGGGTGGGTCGCGGAGGGGACGACTACAACAAACAAACAAACAAACAAACAAACAAACAACAACAACGCAACAAACATAATCCTCACCACGGATTCTCTCTTCAGCCACGCGCCCAGGGACAATGAATGACCGTTCGGCCCCCTCTCCCGGATATCTTTGATTATGTCTGAATGTGTTTGAACATCCCATTGACACAATGGGGATCTTCAGCCAGATTATTGTATATTTCTGAATAATAGTGCAAGTTACCGAAGATGTTCAAGCATATCCCAGGTCCACGGATCGGGCCGGTTTCGGCCATGACGCCAGACCTGGCAAGACGTCATCGCGACTCGGCCCAGCAGTGCCAGACCTCATCGTGGTGGCCCCTGGCAGCGCCTGTTACCGCAGCGCTTTCGGAGCGCCACTCGGGTCGTTCGAATCCAATTGGCGGAATTCCGCGGTTGCCCGCTGGCGCAAAAAACAAAAATCCCGTGGCGTCCCGCCGATCGTTGAAGCGGCGCGGCAGTACTTGCTTGCGCGGTTGCGTTGGGCCCCCACGGGCTTCCTTGAAGCCGCGCACCAAAGGTCACTCCGGCCTAGGGTCACTCCTGCGTGTAGTCGAGACGTAGCACCCAGAAATCTGGGTCTATTCCCTGTTGCCGGTTTCTCATCCCGAGTCGTGTTTCGACGGTCCCGGGGCCCGGCGAGGGCCCCATTAGTTTGAACATAGCGAGCAGAACGTCTGTCTCGTTTCTTCCGCGACGAGAGAGGAGGGCTGGTCACGAAAAACGGCAGAAGAGCGCCTTCAGCAGCGGCTTGCACACGTCCACGCGCGTCGCCTCGTCGTCCGCCTCGGACAGCTGCAGCAGGCGCGCCAGGTCCCCGGCGCCCGCGGAGCCGCCAGCGCCCCCCTCGAACGAGCGCTGGAGGTACTGCCCGTAGAGGCGTCGGCCCGACATGGGGTCTGCCTCCAAGGACAGCGGCGAATCCTGTCAGGGGGACGTAAGACCTGGGCACAGGGGACTCGGAAATCCCCGACGAGGTCGTCAAAAAATGGCGAGGCCGAGCCTGCATTTTGACGAGGCCTCCCTGTGCAGACATCCCACGAAACTCCTCCTCGTCAAAATCCGAGGCGTGGTCGTCAAAAAACGATGGCGAACCCGAGTCCTGGCACACCCGGGTCTTACGCTCCCCCGATCCTGGAGCAAGAAGCCCAGAGATCCGGGCGCCTCATTTTCTTCACAGCGGGCGATGTCGCCCGGTTGCGGACCTCATGGCCCTCACAGGTCGACATGGCTCGAAACGGTGACGCAGACAGATGGGCTCCATGGCTCCGGTCGTGGCTTTTCCGAGGTTGCAGTTCCGCCGCAATGCCGGATCTCGGGGATGCGCGCGCGCGTGTACACAAAGAGGGGGCCCTGTCACTGAGGTGCCCCGCAGACTTCCCCGGAGGCCTCGGCGGCCTTCAGGGCCCCGCTCACGAGGCCGTGAATGGCCCCAGGGGGATGTACAGGCGGATGTTCGAAGATAAATCGGCAAGAGCCGAGAATTTGCGACGACTGGGGCAGATAAAAGAAACACCGTCCCGAGACTATATTCTTGACGATTCTCGAAAAATTCCCTCCTGTAGAGGACATGCCCGACTTCACCCCAGGGGCTCCACTAAGGGCGCGGGGAGCCGGGGACGCCGTGGGCCGCCCCCAATGGGAGCTGCGCGAGAGGCCAGCCCGCCTCCTCGGCGTCGGCTGAGCTCGCAGGGGCGGTGGCGGGGGACACGGCCGCCTGGGGCCCCCCCTTGAGGGGCATCGATAAGGGGGGACTGGCATAGGGGCGGATGCATCGACCTAGAATCGGCGATGCATCGCCGATAGCTCGGCGATAGGCTCCCGATAGTGAATCCGCACCTTCCTGTCCAAGTTGGGGCTATCGGGCCCCTATCGTTGATCAATCGGCGAATGGGGGTCGATGTACCCCCCTGTGCGTATCCCCCCCTATCGTTGCCCCTGACCCCTGGGCCACTGGCCCGGCCGACGCACCGGCGCGCTCCCCGAATCACAACTTGAATCCGGCCGAACAAAATTTTGGGTGACTTCGGAAACCCTGAACCAACAAAAACGTTTTTGAAGGGGCCCCAGGACACACAAATAAATACACACAAATAAAAATATTCCCCATATTTTCCCATATTTTCTGAGGTTCTGTCTTCCCCCCCATTTCCTATATTTTCCCATATTTTCTGGGAATCGACGATTAATTGTGTCTGTGTGTTTTTTCCCCTCCTGAGTTTTCCTCTCTCGGGGGCGCATTCCGTACTTCCGCTGCCTTCCGCCGAGCCTCCGCGGGCGTCCGCCGGCGGAGGCGGCCTCGCTCTGCTTCCGCCGAGCCTCCGCCGACCTTCCCTCGCAGAAGAGATGACTCCTCCTTCAATCCTCGAAGGCAGGGCCTTTTTTGCCACGCCCCAGTTGGGCCAGGGCTCACATACATTCAGGTCGGGCATGTCCCCCTATAGGCGGTTTTTGGAGGAAAAATAACAAATACCCCAAACGTTCCCCAAAATAGCCAAAACATCATAGGAAACTCGTCCACAGACTATGTTTGACTATCTTTTAATACTGTTCATGTAGAGGGACAAGCCCGACTTAAACATACACCCATGGTCTTGGATGCGACCACATTGGCTCAAGAAGCTTCGGCCCTGGTTTGGCCAGCGTCTGCTCTGTTCGTCGCAGGCCCCAGGGGCGGGACGGGGTGGAACCTCAGAACCCGGCAGGCGCTGGCAAAACTCGTCCCGGTGTTCCTCCAAGACCGCAGATGTGAGCATCAACTTTCGTAGGCCCGCGCGGATTTCTCGGATCGGCGCTAGACTCCCCTGGCGGCGCCTCCGCCGCCACGGGCCATAATCAGGGGGGGGGAGCATGCTGCGACGCATGGGGTTGCCAACCAAACCAACAAGAGGAAGATGAGCTGGCTCCAGGAGATCCGCGCGCACCTCCGAAAAAGGCCGCTCTTCGTGGAGCCTTGCGCTTCCCCGATCCTCTCCCGCATCGTCCCCGGCCGCCAGCGCACCGCGCAGCTGCGAGAGCACCGCGCCGCTGTCCGCCACCGCGCCCGCGCGGCGTGGGCGCGCTGGACTGCCAGGTGCGGTCTGGCCGGGCAGCTGCAGGGCTTTTGAAATGGCCGACGCCCGTTCCAAGGTTACATTATGTCTTTGTGGGTGCCCTCCCCAAACGCAGTTTCCCTTCCGTGTCGATGACGACCCACCTCGCTCCAGGCCAATCGGATGGCAGGGTGCCTCCTGAAGTGCAGGCGGAGCCTGGAGTCACAGGCTTGCTGGGCCGACACTGTGCCGCCCAACCGCACGTGACCGCGCACATGAGCAAAGCCGTCGATAAAACTTGCATTCAGGGGCAGCGCAGCAGGAGGAGGGAGAGGGACAAACAGGATGGGCTCGGAAAACCAATCACCAACAGAGGGTATCATGAAAGAGTCGAGGTGGGAGACCAGAACAGCGCTAAGCAACGAACAGGTAGCGTTGTACCTGAGATCGCCTATGTCCACACCCGTCTGGACGACACATCCGCAAATGCATCCCCGAAGGGGCGCAAAGAAAACGAGAGGCAACACGCATTTCACGAGAAGCGAGGCGGAGGATGGATATGCCAACGTACTCATGCGCTTGTTGTAACAGTGCATTCGATAACCTGCTAATCGGTTGCTCAACGTGCACAGGTGTGATATTACTATTACACCACGCGGATCAGCACGGCAGTGTTCGACCGGAGTCGGAGTGGCCACGGTCATTTGGCGGTTCAGAAACCATCTGGACACATGTTCCAATCGATGCCGATCGCCAGCACGTTGAAGACAGCAGCGGCGATATTGGCCTTCTGCTGGATGGCCGCAGGCGGCTTGACGCTGGCAGGAGATCAGCACACTGTGCAAGCAGAAGAAGCCAACGGGCTCGACCAAGAAAGGAACAGTTTTGGAATATGATATTGGTGCCCAAGATGCGAAAAACAAATGTGCATGGGCTTCGAAGGCAGCGCCGCATTGAACAGTTGCGTGGCCCAGCCATGGGCAGCCGACACAGTAGGCGAGGGTGAGTAGCACTGCAGAGGGAACTGAAGCTTACACAAACAGAAGCGGTTTTTTGACGACGTAGTGAGAAGACCCCACCCTCGCTGGCGGACAGCACGATCGCGAGCAGTGAGCGCTGGCAGGGCCCCGTCCCAAGCGTGCAAGTGCGCCTGCGGACCAATGAATTTGCCAAGGTACTTGCAGTCGCGGGCAATTTCAAGCAGCGAAAAGGGCCCCCCTGAGTCGACGCACGCGCGGGTGTACATGTTCATGCTGGCATTCCCACATGATAAAGAACAAACCAAGTTTTGAAGTAGAGGCATGCGCCAATCGTGGGCGCAAGAAGGGTGATAAGGTCCAGGACACTAGGAAGACAAGAGGAAACGCTGGGGCACATTCTCGGCCAGTCATCGGCGCACGCAAGCATATTATGAATACGGAGGCCACTCTTCCAAATCAGCGAGCGCACGATAGGGTCAGTGCAGAGGGCGAAGAAGATCATAAAGGCAGGACCCCCTTGCCGAACTCTCCTTTGAATGCTGGTGTGTGGGATGCGCCCGCCTCCCACTACCGGGGTTGGCCCAACAAATGTTTTGATGATAGGGCTGCGGGTACAAAGCGACCAAGGCACCAGGGAAGAAAACATCGTGCCAAGAACGAAGGTCCTCCAACTAACGAAACCGGAACGGAGGGCTGCCGAGAATTGGGTCAGACACTCCGCTGCGCGCATAACTCCCAAGCCCCGTTGCTCGAGTTCCCAAGCTTCCGCCTCCAGCACATTGGCCAAGAGGGGGGTGTCCAAGAGGGGGGGGGTGCAAATCATGACTGGCGGCATGTGCGCGGCCCAGCGGGGGGGCCAGGGACGTAATGAAATAAGAAAAGGCGCCATGAAATCTGGGGAAATATCATGGCCCACGCCATGATATCCACCCCCCCTAGTCATCATCCCCCTCTTTTCCGCCCCCGAAGACCCCCCCTTGCTGAAGCTCCTGCGCTGGGGCAACAGCAGCTGCAGAAAAAAGCGGCGAGGGCACGGCAGGCGACAGGGCCGTGCGGTCAGCGATCCAGCGCAGGCGTCCGAGTGCCGGCGAGGGCGCGGGTGGCGCCAGGAACGGAGTCCGATGGGCGCGTGCCATTTCGGGAGCGGCCAAGAGGGGGGTGTCCAAGAGGGGGGGGGGGCAAACCATGACCGGCGGCATGTGCGCGGCCCAGCGGGGGGGCCAGGGACGTAATGAAATAAGAAGAGGCGCCATGAAATCTGGGGAAATATCATGGCCCACGCCATGATATCCACCCCCCTCTAGTCATCACCCCCCCCTTTTCCGTCCCCGACCATTCTGGAAGCAAGCGAGAAGCGTCTCACGCATGCTGCTCGGCACGTGCCGAGCCCCCGGGCCGTCAACAAAAGAAAACTCGGGAGGAAGAGCCGGCCGCAGGAGAGGGCGCGAGAGACGGTCGGCATGTCTGGGGCCCTTAAGTGGGCCCTGGAAACGGCAAGGCCGTTTTTTTACCGGTTGCGTTTTGCCGTTTTTGTTGCCGGTTCCGACGCCGTTTTTTCACCGGTTCCGTCGCCGTTTTTTGACCGGTTCTGGCTCCGGTTCCAATCCTGGAGCCGTTTTTTTGCCGCTTCGGGTCGCCGTTTTTTCGCCGTTTCCATGTTCAAGGGACATTTTTCTGGAAACGGAAAAAAAAGAGGCCCTGCCGTTTCCGGGGCCCACAAAGCTGGGGCCCAGTCTGTGTAAAAATCACGGCCCCCGTCATGCCCAGCTCTCTGGCGACCCGAGGAGATCGCTCCGGAGGGTCCTCGCCGCTTGCGGCACCTGCCCTGCAGGGGGGTCTCTTCCGAGCCCGTTGGGAGTCTCAGCCCCGCTTGGCACACGAGCTCGTCGGGCCGGAGAAGAGAGGAAAGAAGAGCGACTGCTGAGGCGGATGCTGGACCAAGTGCGCTGGGAGCCACTCTTTGTCGAGGGTCTGCTTGTCCTTCGCTGTGGGGGCCACCTGGGACGCGCCGCGTGGAGCGACTGTCAGAAGGCGGGGGCGGGGGGCCGGAATGGCGCGGGGAAGGGGCCCTCGTGCGCGAGGGAGGGGCACTGCACACGGAGACGGCGGCGAACCGACGGAAGTGGGGTGTCGGCAGGACAGGTTGCTGCGTGAGGGAGGGGTGAAGAGAGGAAAGGTGTGTGATGGAACCCGGCCACCTTGAGTTGGTCGTTGACGTTCACCGCGACCACGGTGTGTGTGTAAGTGACCGTACTGTTGCGGCTCTGCACGAGCACCTTCTTGCCCAACAGCGCGACCGAGTCGCAGGTCTCAGTGGGGGGCCCTGTGACAGAGTACTCCGTGGGGAGCGTCCAAGGAGTCTTGTCCTTGTTGTAAGCGCCGACTCCAGGGCTGGCGAGCTGGGCGCGGCCGTCCGCGGCGACAGCGTACACCTGAAGGGAATGTCTGGGGCGTGCGGTCAGAAGGGAGTGCGGGGGGGGGGGGGGGCAGGGTGGTAACGGAGGCGGCCCTCGAGAGGGCTTTCGGGAGGAAACCTTGAGCCCGAAGACGCAGTCCCCGTCGTCTGCCAAGCGTTCGCAGTCTGCCCAAAATGGCGCCCTCCCCCCCCCTCCATATGGTGCACCAGATGATGATCCAGGGGATGGTGATGGTGACTGCGGAGCAAAAACCTGCCTGAGCAGCGGAGCGGCCGGGGCCGAGGTGATGACCCGTCGCACGGGCCTTGGGGCTCCGATCCGCTGGCGGCATCAGCGACGTCGATTGGACCTGAATCGAGGACGTCTCGGCAGCCCGTCGCCTCGCAGGGCGACGCCGACAAGCATGCAGAGCAAGGCTTGCTACCCACCAGCCCAGGTGCTCGGCATCGTCGCGCGGCAACGGCGCAGCTGCCGATGGCAGCGCCTGAAATGTGCAACCCCGTCTACGGCAGGTTCGCGTCGTGCCGACCAGCGGCGACCCAGCCGCCAGCTTTCATTGTGAAACGCCGCCGGCGACCCAGAATCGGTCGATGTTGAACGATCTGACGTTTCGGACATGGCCGATCGTTCAGGGTTGAACGATCCCCGCGGTGTCAGAAACCAACACCGAAGTCGGCACGACACGAACTTGCCGTTCAGCGCAGAGGGTCCCGCCACCTGCGCGGCTGCACAGCCGCGTACTGCGGACGCCTCCGCACAGTCCGTGGATTCCATCGTGCCATCGGCCAATTCGGTGTCGATGCGTGGAGGTGATTGCGGGATAATTCATGTGCTTTGGCCTGCTGTGGGTCGCCGACCATGTTGGCCATTCCCTGCGGATGCAGAGATCACGGCGATTCCTCCTGATTCGCGAGCCGCTCCCGTGGAGTGTCGGCCAGATGAGAATTTGGAGTTTGGATATGTTGTTTGGGAGACCACCAGACTTTCTGCATCTTGAGCAGCTTCTGGAGGAGGCCAAAGACTGCGTGGGGATGCTCCTCAACGAGTTCGCTGGGCTTGTCCATGTCGTTGTGGATACGACTCGTGGCCCTCATGCGCTGCCTGTTGATATCGCCATGGATCCTCCGATCTTCCGTGCCTGAATGATGCGCGGGGAGGGTCGGCGACAGTCGGCGATGTCCATCGGAGATGCATTCGAAGAGGACTCGTCAAAAAATCATCATCGTCACCTCCATGACCATCACCATCCTCGCCACACGGTGCGTCATTGCAGAGGGAGGCTCGTCGTAGCACGATGCATGCTATAACGGCGTAGCCTCCCAAATCATGATGTACCGAAGCAGAGACCAGTACTGTCCTCGCGACACGTGAAAGCGAAACTCAGAACACGGCGAGCTTCGGGCCCGACAAGTTAGTTACGAAAGACGACGAGGCCGCACCGGGCGAAGTCAGTTAGCGAGAAAGCGAAAGCGCCGAGAGGACGCAAGCGAAAGCGAACTCGAAAGCGAACCGCTCGGAAAAAGTTAATAGCTTCGCTTTCGCGTGTCGCGAGGACAGTAAGTACCCACTAGCCTTCGGCCCGTCCCGCCGCTGCGCCTGGGTTGTAGGTCCGAGGCCTCTCGGGGCCCTCCCGGCCCGACCTGGGGCGCTCGCGGCTCCAAAGTATAGTCCTGCGGGAAGCGCCGGGGAAGCGCGGGGGGCACGCCGGGAGCCCTCAAAGCTTAAGAATATACCGTCGGGGCGCTGAAGAAGGAAGCCTTTTCATTGTGGAGGGGCTCCGTGTTCCTTAATTGTTTCGCAGCTTGCCTCAGGTTTTCCTCAGGTTTTCGATCTGAAATCGAAGTTTAACTTATGGAAAGTAGGGGCCTCGTTCCTTGTTTGGGGTTCCTTAGGTCAACGACCCGACTGTAAGGCCCAGGCTCTTGACACTCAATCCCGAGGGCTGGGACGAGGGCCCCAAGGGGCCCGAGAGCACTCCTATTCGTGCCTCGCGGCACGGTGGCGGATGCCTGTTCAGCAGGGTTCTGGAACAGCGACGGGCTGGACACACGAGCGTGTTGTCTACTGGACCCGCCGTGCTTATAGGAGGCTCACGCAGAGGGGGGTGCAGATTTTAGAGACCAAGGGGCTTCGGCGTGCCATCGTGGTGTGCAGCAGCTCTTCTCCAGACTTCGCCTCGGCACACATGGAGCCCCGATAAGAAAAGCAGGGCCCCGCCGCCTCCAGCCAGCAGGACCTGGCCGATGCCGACATCGTCCTGGCCACCTACCGGCTCTTCTACTCCGCGCCTTACCTCGAGCGCCTGCGGCAGCTGGCCTGCCTCCAGGCCAGCGAGGGGCGCGGCAGGGCCCGCGCCGCGGTGCCGCGGTGGCGGGCCGCGCAGATGCGCCGGCGGGGCATGTTGTGCCGCAGGGTGGAGGTGCTGGGCCTCCCAAGTGCGGTCCGAGCAGCTGGGGTCTAGCAAGGATCGCGCCGCATCGCCGATGCATCGCCAGTGTGGAGCTCGATGTTCTGCACGTCGGCGTCGCCGATGCAGCGCCGGTGTCGCCGATGCATCGGCGATGCGGCGCTCTCATTCGGCGGCCGCCCCGAGCCCGCACGGGCTCAGGCGCAGAGCTCGCTCAGAGAGGAAGCCTGGGACGGTGGGCTCCCTGCAAAAAAAACGTCATACACATAAACTTTTGGCGCCCCGTGCGCATTTCTTGGATACGCGCCGGACCCCCCTCCCTGGCGCGCTCCGCGCGGATCCAAGAAATCCGCGCGGAGCGTCGAAAGTTTATGCTTCTGGCGCTTTTCCTTCTGCGACTGCAAGGGCCCACCAGATTCCTCACCCGCCGCTCCTGCTCGCGCGCATCGACCCCCACCCTCCCGCCCCAGACCCCTGGCCCGGGACCACGGCGGCGGGGTGTGCCGCAGACGCCCGCATGCTTGGAGAAGCTGAGCATCTTGTCCATCAGACCGAGGGCCTCATTGTCGCCCTTCTTCTTCGCCTGGAAGCATGACAACAACTGCAAAAACTTGTTGCGTCGGCGGCGAGGCAGGGCACGTCTCTGAAGTGCCCTGGGACACACAAATAAATACACACAATAAAACAATTCCCTATATTCTCCTATATCTTCTGGGTTTTTGTCTTCCCCCCCACTTCCCATATGTTCCCGTATTTTCTTAGGAATCGACGATTCATTGTGTCTGTGTGTTTTTTCCCCTCCTGAGTCTCCGCTAGCGGAAATGCCTGAACGGGGATGCCGGCGAAGCGAATTTGGACACCATGCCGGAGGGGGAGGAGGCGGAGGACGCGGCCGAAAGAGGGGGCAGGGGAAGCGAGCCGCTCAGGGGGACGAGTCACGCCCCGAGCGCGCGGCGCAGAGCTGCAGAAACAGGAATTTCCAGAGCTCCGCGCGGACAATGATCCTGGATCGGCACTGGACCCCCTCCCAGGCGCGCGGAGCGAGCCGTGGGTCGCGCCAGAAGCGCCGACAGATCCAGCTCAGATCCAGAGGCGGCGCCGGAAGCGCCGCCAGGGGGATCCAGCGCAGATTTAAGAGATCTGCGCGGACCTCGAAAGCTGATGTTTATGCAAACTTCGGGGAACTCCAAACATCCTGCGGCGGGGTGTTTTTGAATTCCCTCCAGACGATCACTGAGCAAGCCAAAACTTCGGCGCCTGCGGCAGGTTTCTTTTGAATTCGTTCCAGGTGGAGAACCTGCGACCCAATCCGCGATCAGTGTGCAAATCAAAATGTTCGGCGCCTGCGGCGGGCTGTTTTTGAATTCCTTCCAGGTGGAGGTGGAGAGCCCGCGACACACCCGCGACCCAAATCCGCCGGCCCCCTTGTGGGGCCACCAGGCTGTAGGCCCGTGATTCGCAGTTTCCTGTACCAGTCGTAGGTTGTAGTTTCCAGTGTTACAGTTCTGCTTCTTGCTGGTTACTGTAACTAGTTGACTTATTGCTGGTTACTGTAACTAGTTGATTGACCGCGCGAGGGGGGGGGAGGCCCAAACCGGCTTTTTAGCACCCCCTGGGCGCGTTGTCTGAATTGCTGGGGGGGCTCGAAATCGACACCCCTCACGCAGATCCGCGGGGTCAGGGTCCAAAAACACAGGGGATTTGCCACATTTCTGAAATTCGGTGCCACCCCTCACGCAGATCCGCGGGGTCAGGGTCAAAAACACAGGGGATTTGCCACATTTCTGAAATTCGGTGCCACCCCTCACGCAGATCCGCGGGGTCAGGGTCCAAAAACACAGGGGATTTGCCACATTTCTGAAATTCGGTGCCACCCCTCACGCAGATCCGCGGGGTCAGGGTCTAACACCCCTCACGCAGATCCGCGGGGTCAGGGTCCAAAAACACAAGGGATTTGCCACATTTCTGAAATTCGGTGCCACCCCTCATGCAGATCCGCGGGGTCAGGGTCCAAAAACACAAGGGATTTGCCACATTTCTGAAATTCGGTGCCACCCCTCACGCAGATCCGCGGGGTCAGGGTTCAAAAACACAAGGGATTTGCCACATTTCTGAAATTCGGTGCCACCCCTCACGCAGATCCGCGGGGTCAGGGTCCAAAACACAGGGGATTTGCCACATTTCTGAAATTCGGTGCCACCCCTCCTCACGCAAATCCATAGCAAGGGTGATACCAACTGCGAGAACTCCCTCGGCCCTTTCATCGCAAGGTTTGGTAACCAAGCCCTTAAACCATACACGTCTTACAAATCGCCAGGTGTGGCAACCCCTCTTGTGATCAGTTGGTTTTGCTGATTGCGACTCGGCTTCGCATGAAGTTTCGATACTGCTTCACGACAGCGCCAAGGCCTCATGACTTAGCTCTTCCATGGCCCATTCTCCGAGAGAGGGGGCCGGCGGCAGGGGCGAAGCCCTTACGGA